TATTTAAGGTAAGTTGAAAGGTACAGTTGCAAGTAGTTTCTGTCACTGCCACCACTACCACCCCCGTCATCACAGCTAATCTAAGCAAGACAGGTAGATATAATCAGAGCACAAATGTTTCCCCCTCATGGAAAAGACAGATGCATTACACCCCTCAATTAAAAGAGGAAATCAATCCTGACAAATGTGAGTTTACATCGCAACCATTTATCTCCTAATTTCTAAGAGGGTAGACTTAATTAGAGCCTCGTGACATCAGTGTGTGGGCCTGAAAGCTCAGAGCAGCAGGCTGATTTGACGGAAAGGAAACAGCCGCAGTCAGGCAGTGCGGTGAACTCCAACATGGGAACGTTCTCTGTGGCTCAGATGGGCCAGGCTAATTGGCAGGTGCTGGAGCGGCTGCCTGTTGTCTTCCTTTCTGCAGATCATGTGCAAGGTAAAATTCAGCCATGAGCAGATGCTGAAAAGAAGGTTGAAACATCAGTCAGGATCCCAGAGGATTTTCCTTCTCCCCCTCCCCCCCTTCCCCCCAATGTCATTTGGAGGCTTCTCCTTCCCCAAGTGCTGCAAGGCAGGGGCTCAGATGCCTTCAGAAGAAAGGTTGGGACAAGAGCTGATGTCCCACCTTGAAGCCTTTTGGTCATGGCTGAATCTGTATGTTAGGAGTCTTAGTTGGAAGTGGTTGTCTGTCAGTCTGAGGAAAGGACACCAAATCCGTGAGTGAAAGACTAAGGCAAAGATCATGGGAATAGCCAGAGATTCATCAGATGCCCAGACTGCCTCTACCAGGCTACCACACAGTCCACAGCATGTGAGCCAGCCCATCTGTAACTGGCTGGGGAGGAAGAGCCTCCCCCACCTGCAGTTCAGAAGCCACTTAGCTACCCCCTGAGCTCGGAGCCCCCAGGCACCTCCAAGTGCCCTGATATCAGTAAGAGTCATCTGCAGTTCACTGCCGTTGGTGTTTGGCCCATAATGAATTAACCACAGTGGCCTGGACAGAGAAATGTTGAAGTATTTTTAAGCACCAGGTTTGAGCTAAATATCCCAAGGAAGTGCCTGCATGAAGCAGCATATAATTAACTGCGATTACAGCTCCGGTCATATCATGATCCATTTAAGTTATTTTTCAGAGCACTCACTACAGCCACTGTTTAATTCATTTTTTCATTAGATTGCAGCTACACAGACATCTTTCATCTGCTGCCAGTGAAATTAATATTTTTCTTTATTCTTGCTACAGATAGATTTTTTTTTTAAGCTAGTTAATTCTGGGGTGGTTCATGTGACAGGCTGGGTGGCAGAGTCAATCTTTCCTAGGCGTTTCAGAAGAAAAGGGCCTTTGATCTCCTCATGTTCTGATGTTTGCTGTAAGCATTGCCCTCTGTCACTCTGTAGCCCATGACCCTGGCTCTCATTAAATAGCAACAGATTCTGCAGGTATAAGTTTCTTTCTTGTGAACAGAATTTGCAGCCAGAGAATTGCTACCCATAGGATTTTCACCAAAAGAGTGAATAAAGGTTCACTATAGACTCTTCCCATGTATTCCCAATTATCTGGGAGCAGAGATGGTAACTTCTCATGGGCAGTGAGGGGGAGCAAAACCAGAGATAATACAGAACACATAGATTAGCCAGAAAGGCATAAGAGTGGAGGATATAGAAGGGAAAATAAAGGTTGGTGCTTCTCTTGATCTCTGTGCTAACCCTTATTTGAGCCAATCCCTTCATACTGCTAGTGACTGGGACGCTATAACCCTGACCTAGACTAACTAGGAAAGGGAGCACTGATGTCCTTGCACCCAGACCCATTTCCTTCCAAGCCTGCATAATGGATTAAAGAGTAACTGAGTTGATTCTAGGTAGAAAATGCAGCTGGTCAGGTTTGCTCTGATACTTCCTGAGCATAAAACTGAGCCCAGCTAGAGGTGTATCCCTGTGTGCTTAATGGGAATTGTGTTGAGTTGTGTTGATTGGATGAATGGAAACCCTCAAGAAATTAGTGTGGGACCCATCTTTTTGCTCTCACAGTTAAGACTTTTGTATCTTTGTTCCACGTCCATTTTTTAATGTTTCAGTATTTGGGTTTTTTTTTCATGCAAAATGCTTTTGGGTATCCTGGTGGTCTTTCCTACTCATTAGGTGTTCCATGGACTTTCCTAAAGTTACACTAAGATTGAGCCTAAGCGTTGCAGGAATGAAGAGATAACAGAGTCATGGGCACTCAGTAGAATTGTTACTTAGGACAAATAGAATACGCTTTTCTGCTTCTCCTAATAGTCTATAAAGTGTTCTTTAATATTGTGCAAGGCTCAAATTGAGTTGTAAGGCTACAGTGCTCCTTCCTGGCACTGAGGAGGCAAGTACGTGTGGGTGCAAACTGTGATATATGCATATGTGTGTATGTGTGTTTGTATATATGGCCACGTTTCCAGCTTGCTGGTGCAGTTGGCAAAGACTTCAGCTCTGAGTTTGAGAATGACTAGGACCATCTCTGCTCTGTTAAAGGAAATTTGCACCAAGGTGTTCAGTGTGTAAGGAGCCTATTATGCCAGCCCCAGGACAAGAAGAGACCGTACGCATTGTGGCCTTGGATCGTGACTTCCATGTCCAGTGCTACCGGTGCGAGGTTAGTATTCTAACCACATGAAGGCAAGAAAGCAAAGGTTGTCTTAATTTCATCACAGTCTCATGTTACATACAGGACAGGCATACCCTATTTGTAACAATGGTTCTAAAATCAAATTACTTGACTGACTTCAGCACGCAAGGAATTTTTCTTCATTTATATCAGCGCAAATGAGAAGAAAATCAGATCCCTTGTTTATAACAGGTTCATTAGGAGAGCAAGAGAATGTGACTCAGTTAATTAGAGCTTAATATTTGAGAACATCATAAATTATAGCTTGGACACAAACGTTGCTCGTGTTTATGTTCTTAAAATGAGTGCTAATGCATGTTAGAATTTGAGCAAGATTGTACAGGAAACTCAGCATATGGCTCTGGGTTGAAGAATTTTAATGGACACATAAACATGATCGTTCTTGTTTTGCGCAGTGCTTTTTGTGCTACTTTCCTGTTCGGTTTCATTACACACAACGTATAATTTTGACTGTAAGAATCTGAAGACAAAGAAGAAAAATCACCTTAAAGCAATTAACATGTGGTAACAGCTGTGTTAGGGAACCTTCAAGAATTTTTCAGTGCAAGTGTTACTTCTTGGATAATATATCAGCCAGATGGCAGGGAAAGAAAATGAGACCAAACATATTTCTTATCGCAGTTGCAGATTTTAATAACTTCAACTGGAAAGGATGAACTAATGCGTAAAGGTCTAGGCAGAGACTTGAGACATCTGGTTTGATTCTCACTTCTGACATTGTCTTCCAAGGTACATATCAGCCTCTTGCTTGGGCCCAGTTTTTAAAGACATTCCTGCAATCAATTTTGCAGAGCCTAACTTGTAATGTGGCAAGTCCCAACCTTGGCTGATGAGTCCCCACCTAAGCTTGCCCCCATACACCTGAATAGCAGAGGTAGTTGCAGCGGAGAGCACAAGACATGGACACTCACACAGCTCCACGATGGCCAAGGCCCAGAACTGTACAGTATTAGCTTGGAGCATGATCTCACAGGCAGTTAAGTGGCTGTGGAGCATTCATTTGCTGGCTAAGAAGTCACTGCACTGTGATCTCTGCATGACACAGAGGTTCCCACAGGAACTGCAGGTCAGTAAGACAATTAAAAATCAGAACTAGGCTCCCAAATCAGGAAGGCAGAGTAGTCCCTGTGGCACAGTATCTGAAAATCTTTTTGCATTTTGGCCTTCATGTCCATGTGCCTCAACTCTCTATTTCAAAAGGAACAATATTTTTTTCTTCGTTTCCATCTCTTTTTTACCAGTATGTTTACAAACACAAATTTATAGTGAAGGGGGATGGCCTCCAAGAAAACTGTAATCCCCTCAGGTCTGTCAGAAATTCTTGGATAAATGACTGCCTGACTACATCAGGAGGGCAAATTCCTGAGGGCAAAATTCCTAGTAGCTGTATTTAGATTCTAAGGTCTCTGGAGCAAGGTTTGGGACTTCCAGTGGGGTGTCTTGTGCAGCTGCCCCAGAAAAATTCTTCTTTTGGTCACAGCTTTTTGGCCCAGCTGCAGTATGAGTACAGCTGACAGGTCTGCTAAAGGTTTGTGTGTTGACTCTTCCAAAGGAGATTACCCGTAGTCAGATAATAGTACCGAACTTCCTTCACAAGGATGCTTCTTTTTTGCATTAATAAATAGGTGCTAAGTTGGATGTTTTCTCTAGTTCTAAAGACCTTTCCTTCCTCAAAAATGTGAAGGGGAAAAAATCTCATATTATTTTCAGCTGGATTAAGTATAGCAGAGAGCTTGGTAACCCATCTTCTCTGCAGCATTGTCTCTTATCAGGAAATGGCTCAATCATGAACGACATCACATACCTCGGCTTCATGCTTTACACTGACTCGTGCTAGATCCTGTTACAAGGTGGAGAATGAGGAGAGAGATTCTCTGGCTAACAGATTCTTTGTTGAACTTGTTCTTTTCTCTTTTTCATTTTATTTTTTCTATTTGTTTATCACACCAGGACTGTGGTGGCCTCCTGTCTGAAGGGGACAATCAGGGCTGTTACCCTCTGGATGGACACATCCTTTGCAAGACCTGCAACTCAGCTCGGATCCAGGCTCTTACTGCTAAGGCCAGCACTGATCTCTGAATATCGACTGTGACCCTCCCCAGTCTGCCTGTTGGGAGAATTGCACAAGCTTTGCATGATTTCTTTCCAACCTAGGGCCTAAGTCTTTGCTTGAAAAAAAAAAAAAAAAAAAAAAGGTTTTGGAGCAAGAGGGCAGTTTTAAAGGCCATTTTCAGATCACCTGCGATAGGCACCTAATTTAGATGTGACTATTTAGATGAGTGGTGAGTCAGATCACCTGCTATCTCTGCGGTTAAAAGAGGGAAGGGGTCATAGCGCTAAAGTTAGGTGCCTATGGAAGGAGGTCTGAACACAGTTCTAATGATATTTCTGAAAAGCTGTTTGATTCCTGACTCCCAAGAGGCACACGAAGGTGTCTGAGCTAGCTGCTTCTCCCAGGTCCTCTTGAGAACCTGGTCCAGTTCCCTTTGAAGTCTTAGGCACCTTCCTATCAACCTCAGTGGGAACTGGATCATGAGCAGAAGTAACTCCGCTGTAATAGAAGGTGCAAAACCAGGGTGAGAGTAGAAACGCATCTCTCTCATCGCTACCAAAACTATAGGCAACTTCAAACATACAGAAGAGTGTTGATGTGATCGCATATCTTTAGAACACAGATCTGTTATTTGCATATTTTTCTTAGGCCCTTCCTTGTCTCCATTCCCTTCCAGTTTAATAAGTTCTTCTTTTTCCTTTTCTTATGAAATTATATTTTGCTACTGCATAAATATATTTGGTAGTGATGCTTCCAATTCACAGATGTATGAGCAATCACAGAAGGATGTGAGCTTGCACTCACTACACACAGGCAACACTACACATACACACACAAACACACACACAAAATATGCTTTTGATTTACAGGAGGTATAATGCCAATTTTGCCTGTTGAGAAGGTCTTTTAAGGATCTGGAGCTAAAATATTTTTTTGAAATCCCAGTGGTTTTTAAGGAACTTTACTACAAAGAACTGCAGTGCAAAGGGGTACTCAAAAAAACCTTCTGGCACTTCCACATGTCCCATTAGAGCAGGCCCAATGGCAGTGCTGATTCCTGGGCAGATAAGCAATGTGCTCGTCTTCCGTCTCCTGCTGACTGCAAGGAGTTGATTCCCGTCAGCTGTAGCAGGAATTGAATCAATCCTTGGGATAGACAAGAAACTTGTTCACTGATTGAGACATATGTGATTTGGAAGATCTGTTTAAAAGAAAAATAAACAGTTCGTGCTGTAGTTCAGTTTTTATCTGAAGAAAGCTAAAGGAGATGTCCAAAAGTAGGATTTATTTCTCTTTCATTTTCATTTCAGTTACTTATTACTTCTTTCTGGTGAAATGTCATTGCAGAAAAGGGTTGGGCCAGGAGCAGCAGTTTTATCCTCTATCCAGAATTAATATTAATACCTATGCCAAGGCAAATAAAAAGCTGGACACAGACACCTCATTTTTTTTTCTTGTTGTTCGTGGGGGCTTTTTTTAGTTTTGTTTATTTAAAATAAATTATAAATCTGTGGCTTATTCTGTGCAGCTATAATACTCTTGTTCATGAAACCCATAATAACTAAGGTGCAAATTACCCAGGGAGTAATTTTCGTATCACTGAATTGACATTAATATCTTATTTGCAGATGTAATCAAAGAAAATACCTTTCTATGCACTTAACAAATTAAGAAGCAGAACTCAAACAGTTGTAGACTGATTGGCCATATTAGTAACAAACTGGCATTTTTCAAGATTAAGTTCTAAAAATTTCTCTTCTGTGCACCCCCTGAAAACCGATGAGTATGTGGTGCATTCTTCTTTAATCTCTGTAACAGAAGCCTGATATACCTACTAATGCTGAAAAGAAAAAAAAAATACATGAGGTGGACTGAGAGGAAATGAAGAGGAAGAATTGTGATACTGCATCTCCTGCAAATGGTACATTTCCTTTCAGTTTAAGCACTAACCTTTATAGGAGAGCACTGTGAAATGTAATAGCTTTAGCTGTCAACAGTGAATTCAGATACAGAAATACAGGTTTGAAACCTGTCCCTTGCATGGTTTGTTTTTTGGCAAGCTCCAGTGATTCAGAGGAGATTCCCAAGTGAATCAGTAAGCAAAAGAAATGATTCTCCACCATAGTGCCTGTGCTGAAGCAGTTAACCTTTTTGTACTAGATTTTTACCCTGGCCTTCAATATTCTACTGCCTCAAAAATAAACAGATTTTTTTCTTTTGTACCATGACTCCTGCCACATTCCATCTGGGCTCCTAAGTGTGGCACATATGGTACTTTTTAGCTCACTTTATGTGCCGTGCCTACAACCACCAGTCGAAAACCCTCACAACTATTGAGCAAATGCAATTTGAATTAGCCTTACAAAAATATGGAAGTTCAGAGATTTTAACTTCTGCCATATCCTTGTAGAGGATTTTACATCTCGGGGGAGAGTAAGGGAGAGATGTGATGCACACAGGCACAGAACAAGCCAGTTGTCAGGCAACAACCACCCCTCTGAACATCCTCCTTCTTGTTGGTTGTAGGTCAGGTGGCTGATGAGACTCTCCTGAATAACACTGTGCAACCTGGTGGGAACAAGCTGTTGTAGCTGCATGCAGAACATGGTCTAGATAAGAGACTAGGGAGAACTGAAGCTTTTGAGGCTTCTGTGGCCCTACCATAGGCTGTAGTCAGAGCAAGTCCTATGGTTTATCTCTTGTCTTCTGCCATTTGCACGAGAGGGCTCCTCTCCCACTTCCTGAGCATCCATGTGAGTTAAATTAATCCAAACTGCTGATTTCAGAACTCTGTCTTCTCCTTGTAAAAAATGTATAGGGATATGTAGGTTTGTGATTCCTGCCTATCTGAAAGTTAAGGGCCAGCTAGGACATCTAGATCTGAATCTCCCCATTATTAAGTGCTGTGGTGGTTGGGCTGGTGTGCAGGGGGTGAGAGCCATTTTTTTCAAGCATTAAGTACACTATGGGTGGAAGCAGTTTAACAAAGTTCAAGTGGTTCTATTATTTGATGCATTGGGGCTAATTTCTATTCCTCGAATATCTGGGCAAAGGTACTATCATGTTTTCGTTTTCACCCCTGAAACACTAAAGCCAACTATCCATTGGAATGAGCAGGTATCCAAAGTATTCCTCTTCATTTTCTGTAATGCATGTGATTTGGCTTCAAATATTGCTAGAAATATATTTGAAAGAAATTGCACATATGTACATGTAGTGTAGAGACTCTCATCAACCACCTGTGTATGGAAATCTCCCCTCAGTGCATCAGGATTTAATTAGGAAATGAGGGTGGACGTGTCTCCATTGCACTGCAGTTAAGAACCACTGGGATATTGCTTCATCACAGTCTTTATCATGTATTTATTATATATCCTCATTTATCTGTTCCAAAGAAGTCTTTTTGCCAAAGAGACCTTGCTTTTTTTAAGATGCACTCCTTTGCTCTGAAAAAAAAAATCACATGATCTGTGATTATGGTAACTTCCAAAATGTTCCTTTCAGAAAGAATTGGAAGATCACACAGACAATTCTGTTTGAGTCTGCAGTTTTTTTGCTTTTGCTGCTTTGGCTTTTCCTAGTGTTTGTTGGCAAGTAGAACTTGATCCCATGTTTTGTGTGGCCAGATAAGGCCCAGGATCAGGTTCTAATTTAGCAAAATATTTAAAATATTTAAGCCTATGGGGTTTGTTTAGGCATAGGCTTAAAGTCGTTGCATGGTGTGACTTAAGTCATGGTTCTACTGTCATTAATACCAGACCAATGCCGTATTAGCGAGTTGTGCAGATCCGATCAGGGCAGGATGTGGGCACAAATTGCCCGGAACGCCTGATGCAGCTTCGGCGTCGCCTTTAGGCCGGCTGCAGGAGGACAAGTAGCTGATCCAACGTGACGTGTGTGTGTGCAACGGGAGGGTGAGTTAATACGAGATCAGGGCTTTGTGTCAGCTGGCTGTGGCGCTTCCCGTGCGTCACAAGTTGCCCTGCAGCCAGATTTACTGTATCTTTGAACCATGGCTTTAACGTCTACTTAAACTTTCTACAGAAGATTGGGTTGCCTTGGTTACGGCCCAATCCTTAAGCATATCCCCAAGGCTAACACTAGTGTTTTGTGAATGTGACGGTTTTGTTTTCACTTATTTTAATCTTTGTCTGGATGTTGCTTTTAAAAACAGAAAGCAACACCGTTGCTCTAGCCTATCAGATAATGCACCTTTAATTCTGTTTTTGTTTTTTTTTAATATTTTAATTCATAGATTTTTATCACAGCTGCAAAACACTTGGACAAGGACTTAATAATAGAGGTGTGGAAGTAGCAAAGTCTTTGTCACAGCAAACTCTACATACAGCATTCAGCCTGACAGCAGAAGCAGGACTCAAGTGAGACATAGGCCTTACATCAACTACCTATCAGCAAATTAGCTTGAAGAGAATGAGGATGAGGTGTCTCTTAGAGAAACGGTGGGTCTTGAAGAGAATACGCACTAAGTCCTAGCTGAGATCTTCTTGGTGAAACTGGTATGGTCAGCCGACTCTACCTTGGGCTTGATAAATGCTTAATTTTACACTACTGTTCCTCTTGATGGTGAGAAACTCCAGCAAATGAGGGATAACTGAACTGCAGGGAAGGTCTCTGAGGGAAATTTTGTGTCTTGGTCCTCCTTAGTGTCAGAGCGAGCAGTATTAGATACCTGGTGCCTTAGCTGAACAGCTCGAAAAGGATTTCACCTTTTATTTGCTTTTTATTGATACCTGGTTCTTGCCATTGGTTCAGCATGTTGATTTGATATTTGTTCACTAAGCTGTGCTGATTACACACTTTGTATATTTGAATACTGTAAGTGTAGAGCAGACTAGCAGAGAAAAAATGTACCAAGGAATTTCACTGTGGTGAAATTCTCAATAGAAAACACTAGTGATGGTAATTGAGGGTTCGTTGCCAAAGGATAGCAGGAACTACTTAGTATTATCTAGAGGTTAGTAAGTACAAATTAAATACAAATTACAGAGAGAGCTGTGAGAACACTATTTCCAGTTAGAGCTGGTTACAGTTTTTACACTAAATTATGTGATGTCAGAAGGGCCATTTTTTAATGAGAAGTTGTCTTGTTTTTGCAATGTTATCCACAGCAGTTTTTCTGCTATTATAATTAAAACCATATTAAGAATTTTTATCTAAATAGATTTCAGAATTGTTAACAAATATTTTCATTTCTTAAAACCCATGTCTTCTTTCTCAATTTTTGTAGTTCTTGAGTTTCTTTCACCGATTATGTTTCTATCGTAATCTTGAAAAATATTTAGATAAAATCCTATTAAAAAGAGAGAGAAAAAAATACCCAGGTTATTGGAAAATGATTCTATATTGAAACTGGTAAAATTGGACCTTTGAAACTTTTCACAAGTTGTTTTCCCCTATTTTTGTCTAGTTTTGCTAACTTTGAAGTCCCTATTGCCTTTGTTAGAACTATCTAAATAATATGACTCTTCTTAAAATAACAGTGTTACTTCTGTTGGGTTTATTTTTCTTTTCCGTCTTAAAGTCATAGAGTGACTGGCTACAAGGAGTGCCCATGTCTTTTTCTGTAACAACTGCAATTTTTTCCTGTTTATTCTGAAATTAGTGAGCAGGAGCTTATTACGGCCACTGACATGAATATCAAGAGATATTGAGTGAACTTCAGTCTCCATGCATCTGTCTGGGTCAGAGAACGGCATTTCTCCTCAAACATCTGTAGAAACCCTACCTGTCTTCCTCAGCATTTCAAGTTTGTACTTGCCACAGCTGATCAGCTATCTGGTGTTTGGAGCTACTGGGTATTGCGAGAGAGAGTAGACATAATCTTCTGTGAAATTAGAGCATTTGTGTAAAAATCCAAGGGAAAGACTTAACCTAATCAGGAGGCCTTTAGGGAAACAGTTCTCATCTTTAATCTGGGAGTTCTCTGCTGTGATTTGAGGACACTAAGCTTGAGCACTCACAGCCCGCTTGGCGCTGAGGATGATGATGGGGCTGCAGCTATACCGCACTACAGCAATACCCCACTGGGCTTCACTGCTGGCCACCTATCCCCAATGCCTTTTAGCTTCATCTGAAAGGTGTAGGCAAGCCCATGGGTTCTTCACTAGCATCAAAAGCACTCGGTTCTTTTTTCTTTCTTTTTTTTTTTTTTTCCCCGTCTCATTATACTCAGATCTTTTGGAAAATGAAGACGGAAACAGAAGGCCCAAGTGGTGGCATCAACTTCACGTTTCCCCAGGGCTGGAGTCCCTTGCCGGGAATGTGACACTCAGGTTTTCTTTACGTTTCTGCCTCCCGTTATCCGCAAGCAGCTCTCTCACCCTCTTTTTCCTTTTGCTCAACATGCGCTCAGCTGTGTAGTGAAGCTGGTATGTAACTTGCTCACAGAGGTATCCTAAGTCTTAGCCAGTAGTTGGAAAAACTTTTTCAGATCTTTAATCAAGTAGTTTAGTGCATCCATAGTATCAGTGGCCTGCCACATGGATATCAAAGAAAATGATTATAATTATTGCTTTTAAAATGATTGTGAAATTGTGCCTTACTTTTTCAGTCATATTTAACCATGTAATTTAGAACCACATGATTGCAGGGATGTATCATGAAGAAACTTGTTTGAAGGATAGTTTGTCTGTTTTAAAATATTTTTTCTCCAAAAATGAATTTATTAGTGTTGCCTCTCTTATTTTTTTTCTCCCTTTTTATTCCTTTAATATATTTGTGTAAAAGGGCAGCCAGAATTTGCATTTGTGAGAGACAGAAGATTTTATTTTGTCTTGTATGTAGAGCTTTCGTTTTCTTTTATGTTCCTTCAGGAAAATTCCTCTCTGCCCAAGTATTCATACTTAGATTTCTTTAAATGAAGGCTGACCAGTGAGATTTTTTGGTCTATTTTAGTATGTGGCGGCTTTTTTATATATTTTTAATTAACCAGATACCAGGTACTGGGAGGCATTGCACGTTAATGCAGAAGGTTAATGCTCATGGTCATTGGAAAGACAAAATTAGAATCACTGTCTCTAGTGCAGTTTTGTTGCTGTTTTGCGTACAACACTAATACTAAGCCAGACTGTAAAGGCAAAATACTCAGTGTGACCTACTTCCATTCAGCAGTAAGAATCTTTTGTCAGCTGACTCTGCTTGTTTGTTCATTTTTAAATGTCGGATTACAGAACTAGCATCTCCTGAAGATGAAAGAGAACAGTGTTTTCATGTGCAGGAAATTTGGGGTTGCAGTAACAGAGCATTTTCTTTTCAAATTTGGATGTCATAGTGTTTTAAGCTTCTGCCTGGAGCCTAAATCAATTTGGCCTCTCATCCAGTTCATCTCAGTGGTGCTCCTAAAAGGCTGCAGCCCTGTAAAAGCTCATGCAGCATTTTTGGCTGCTTTCCCTTGCTCCCATTTGGTACATATTTGCACAATTTAACTGAGCTTTTCTTTCTGCTGAAGGTCAGATGCAAGCGATACGAAACACTAAACTTTATAAACAAGCAGAGCCATTTTAACCACATCATTTTGGATGAGAACGCGTTTTTAGGTGGCGCACTGTCTGCTGGCTTTTGGAGGGGAGATTCTGAGACTACATTTGACTGGAAGAGGATGCAAAGCCACAAGCCTTGTTTTTTTAATAAACTACTTACTGTAATCCAGCTACACAGTTTCAGCCTCACACTTTAGAAGAAGCTTCCAGCAGCAATGCACGTACAGTCACTTTCCCTCCTTGCTGCAAGTGAAACTTTCCCAACCACTGTAGATTTAACCTATTGCATAAGATGCTGGAAGTTTTTTTCCTTACGATTCTTCCTGTAACCTCTACTAGTAAAGGATGAATAGCCTTTTTTTTTTTTCTCCCTCTTTTTTTGACAAGATTAGATGTTGCATATTGATGCGCTAGCATTTCAAAGGTCCGTGGGGCTTTGGAACGTATTAAGAATCTCTGAAGTTTAATATTCACCATGTTTTAAATATTCAGAAGGAAAAAATCTGCATAAAATGGCTTTTGATACATACATTCTAGGGGTTCGTCTTTCTATCTTACACAAGCGCTGTGGGGATTGTAGCTATGCTGGTTTTGCTCCAGAGTGGTTTTTGTTTCAGCTTATCAAAACCATTTTGGTCCCATTTTTATGTCCAGGCAAGTGGATGTGGCCAAGGCAAAGAGCATTTCAGCATCTCTGTGTTTGGCTGCTCCTCTCCTGGGACACTGCTTCACACGGGACCTCGTGCTGAGCCTGTTCAGGGACTGGAGGCCAGATCCAGCTAGGGTCTTTCTGGAAAGGCTCTCTGTGCTGCTGGGGTTTTAAGAATGGAGAGGGCAGGATGGTTGGATGCTGGAGCAAAGTAAAGTGCCCTTCAGTGCATCTCAAATCCCGCTGGGAAGTTTTCCCCTCCCTTGGATGTCCTATTGTAGGAGCAGTGGTAAGGGGAATGCTTTTAAGAGAAATCCGTCCTGGGTTGTCCTGGTTCTCATCTCCGTTGAAAGTCTGACGGAAGCTGTGGAGGAGGAGGGTTGCTGTGGACTGTGAACACGGAGCTCTTTTGCCTTATTAGTCACTCTGTCCTTTGCTTTGCCCGTGATTTCCCGCTGTGCTGCCTACCCCGGGGTGCAGGGCAAGCTCCTGGGTCCTGCTCACCAGCCTCGACGCTGTCCTGCCAGTCCCTGC